CAGACAGACAGACAAGAAAGTGAGTTCATAAAAACGTGGTAAAAAACTACACCCGGTTGGCTAGCTGAAAATTCAATTTTTTTTTGTGAATCTGTGTTTGGAGACAGCCGTGTTACGTATGACACAATTCATGACAATGAAGTACTGTATAACGGACTATGGGCAAGAAGAAAGTAATGTATTCAGTTGATCAGAAATTAAAAAGATATTAGCATTGTTCTGGGTTCATTCCAATAGTAAAACGTATCTTATTGCGCCTTGAAATGAATTCACGTCGTGAAATACACGTCGTGAAATACGCGTCATGAAGTACTATTAATACTTCATCATATGTGGCATTCCATAGAAAAAAGTTGGCTCAGAAAGAAAGTTCTTTTTATTCAACTATCTTATTGCTCAATGATTCAATTAAAACATTTCATTATCTACCGGTTTGAAGGCCAATAACTGATCACAAAAGGAACTTGGGGTAAAAAAAATATTTTTATGAAAAGGTTCAAGTAGTTCAGTAGAATGAATGAATGAATGAACAGAACACTTTAATTGCCGCTTTTCAGCATTCACAATGAGCTTCACTCAAGATTTCCACAACCAAACCCCCCTTCCCACCCAACCAAAATCCACTCAATGACATTTTAATCACTTCAGAGCATGAAAGCACAAATTGCTAACAAAAATAAAAGAAAATACACTACAACATGAAATACAACTGGACATCTGACACAGAGAATCTTTGATGAGGAATCATATAAAGCCAACAATTTATCTTGATCCTTTAAGATTTCAGAAAGGGTCTCTTCATTGAATTCCTGTACAGTACTGTACTTGTAAATCTATCTTAAGCTTGTTTCTATCAGTATGAAATGCTGGACATGAGAAGAAAAGGTGATGCAGTAGAACAGTATTAGAATAAAATGCTTGATATTTTATTTCTATTGTAGTTTTTTGCTAAAGCTACAATATATTGTTCAATTCTGAGCGTTAATATTTACAGATTTGTATTCTGACAATTATTACACAGCTAAATGCGACGCTGATTGATCCAAACTGAGAACAATATAATTATTCAGTGAGCGCTATTATAGCTAATTGACGCCGAACACTGGAAATACATATTTTTAAGATTTAGAATATGATTATCGAAGTTGAATTTATTCTTGATTCTGAACTGATGGGATGGTTATAGAATAGTCAATTTTTAAATTTCTTTCGATTCAAACATGCGGTATTATAATACAATATACCTCCTCAATAGCATCCAACACTTCAAGTACCAACTCATATCTCTATACGCACCACTCTCCGTAATTACAATAAATATCAAAAATAATAATCTTTTTTACAGGGGCTCGTAATGATATCAGCGAAATCTACTTTATGAAATGCGATGGCGGAAGAATTCGATGAAGAAATACATTACAACTACACATGCGATTTTGCCCGTGGTTTGACTCTGCACCAAATTTTCCTCGCTCAGCAGTTTAAGATAATTTAGCTTTTGGCTAAGATTAATTGGTATGCGCACACTTATTATTGAGAAAAATTTCCTTCGCGAAGTTGTATGCATCCTGTTGATGCCAAATTTTGGTAGAAACAAACACTCATATATTTTAAAAAGAGTCCAAAATTATCCCCCTTCCTTGCCTTTTTTTGACACACTGAAGTCTCCGTTTGCCTCCTCTTCTCCGTAATAAAACCGTCTACTACCACTAAGTCAGCTGGTGTATGTCGTTTAGTTCGGACTTCGAAACTGAGTTGAAGTTTTGATGCTGTACCAACCAGGATCAGAAGAGAATTCTTTGAATTCGGACGAAGCAGTGCCTCTGTGGGCAATTTTGGCAAACTGGAATGGACCTGAATCCTCTGGCCGGCAACCACCTCTGCGCAAATATCCGTGGAACAGATTCAAGTTTGCGAACTATCATCGCGCTCAGGTGAGTAATTCCTATTGAAGTTAATGGTCACCATTACTTTAGCATAATGAAATATTTATACAGTACATAATTTTCACGTGAATATATACTCATCTGGATAACTTGCTGAATACAGGAAAACAGTGATGATTTGAGAAAATATTCAGCCTTTTTTAAAGCTTTTTTTTCATTGCTGTCCGGAAATATAATTACACAATGTGAAACATTTTAAAAATCAATTATCTTGACAAAGACACGGGTTGTATCTAGTACAGTACAGCATATTCAAACAACTGAATGATGCTAATGTAAAATTGAATAACTCAGAAAAATTGCTTGAGGAAGGGCCTTGAAATTTTCCTTCATAGGCCGTCGAAAACACCGTGCCAATCACATAGGAAGCAGCCAAATCTGACAAACTTTTGGAAATTAAATCAATTTGCAGTTCAGGGTTCGTTGGGAATTTCGAACGTCAGCCTCTGATACTCGGAAGATTTTATTACCGGGGTTTTAATCACTTTGGACAACTTCGAGAATTAATTTCATCGAGGCCAATTCGACGAAGCCGTAGTTGAGCCTGTACCACGGTATGAACGAGTTTGCTGAAAATAACACGAATACGGGAGGACATCGAATTCTTGCTTCGGCGAAAATTCGAATCAGTAAATTCGTTCTGATCCCTTGTTTGCTCACAGCAGTTCGATTTGTTTAGAGATTAAGTAGATATGGGCTTGGTTTTCGGTTTATTCGAAACGTGAAGATGGATTCTCCGAATGAGTTGAATGATTGCTCCAGGATAAATTCAGTACGTCGAGAAATGCATTCAGATCACTTGTTTGCTCACACTTCTATTTGCTTAGAGATTAAATAGATATGAGCATTGCTTTCTGTTCAGTCGTACATACGTAGGTTAGTATTTGTTCGACTTGAATTCTTTCTTTTTTTTATCCCTGCCGAAGAATGCATTGATAAGTCCTTCGTTTACTCACGTACAAGTATTCGTGTATATTCAGTTGATCAGAGATTAAATAGATATTAGCTTTGTTCTCGGTTCATTCGAATAGTAAAAATTTTGTCATTTGCGCCTTAAAATGAATTCACGTCGTGAAATACATTCCGATCACTCGTTAGCTCGCATTTACATTCGCTGAAATGTTGAATAGGTACAATAAAGGGTTTCAATTCGTTGCATTCAGATATTCATTCGTTGCTTACATTTATACTTGTTCACAGATTAAAATAATTTCATTCGAAACAGAAACTTGAATTTACACAGAGTTCAAAGCTATGAATGAATTAGTCAAAGTTCGTAAGTTATGTTGGGCGAGAGTTATTCGTGAATGATTCCGGAGATTTAACAGTTTAAATTGAATAAAAATCGGGGAGAATTGCGGTTGCTTGGTCGTTAACTTACAAGTCGACATTTTCTTTTTACAACTATTTTACTTGCGGACAACCGTGTACAATAGAATTTGAGGCCACGAGCAGCGAACAGCATGGGTCAAGATGATGTAACAGCGGTTCGTTCCCCCCTCGAGAAATGTGCTCCTGTGCCCCGGAAACAAAACTCGTTCGCTCATTGTTCCCGTGTGTATTCCGCACAGGTTCGGCAAACACACGTCAACGATACCCTTTCTGGCAGGTCTTTGTCAATCTTGGGCAAACATGAGAGAAAGAGAGAGAGAAAAATAGGCCCCGTTCTAAATAGAACAGAAGCCTTCGAACAATATCTGAAACGAACGCGGCTGTGAACACCGTCACAGACTCCTTGACTACAACTGATGGCGATAAACTTTTCCCGTTGCCTTCGAAATAATCTTATGGATTTTAAACTGATCCGTCACCTGGTTTTTTCTTTCTTCTAACCAATTTGAGTAAACTTTTTGAACGTATGGATTTCTACGTTTTAGTCCTCTTGCTGAGAAAACATTTTTAAAAACAAGGTGTCGATCATATCTTGCTTTTGAATATGATCCGATATGAAAACCTGTTCTTTTCGTAAGAAGCTTTCACTTCAAGATTACTTGAAGTTTTAAATTATTGGTGCAGGCGCATCCAAAAAACACTAAAAATTGAAATATGAAGCTTCGGGACGCGTTCATTATTTATAAAGATTTTTAGGCTATTTTTCTTGAGCTAATTAAATCGGGAAGTATATTTTTTACGGGTCTTACTTCTTCGCAGGAAACCTTGAGGTCATTATAAAAACGCTGAATGGCTGTAAGCGTTATTCCTCACAAAAGCATTGAAAAATGGAAAAATGTTGAGAAATAGCCAGTATTTTAAAAGTCCTACGAATTACGGATGCGTTATCATTTTTACATGCCGAAACAAAATTGTCAAGGTGTTGACAATATTTAATGTAAAATTATATCGACAAATTCAGTTACACGATTAGGATCAGAAAATTTTTAAATTGTAGAATGGAATGACAACTCGTTCAAAATACTTTTCTCGGCAAAAAAGAAACGAAACAGATGAGAACACAGATGAGGTCTCCAGCGTAATTCATAATTGTCAAAGCCATGCTCGAGGTCCAACTCCATTAGTGCAAATTACAGCTTGATGCATCATCGTGGATGATGTAACAATAATTAGATGCCCTTGACACTACAACCAAGCCGACGAGAGTGCTCTGAATAATAAGTCCCGATTCTCGCTGTCTGCAGCATTAATTACATTTCTGTAAAATCTTCTTACAGGAATTTCACCAGCAGAATTAGGGTATATGAAAATGAGTGAAGTTCACGAGGATGAATGACGAATAATGAATAGCGCCGATTCACGTGACAAGCAGTGAACTGGACGAAGGATCTTATGATGCAAAACCTACTTTGGTTGAGATTCCGCTGAATAGAAAATATGAGTTTCCAAGGAATAATTACATTGAGATAATATGAATACGTGTTGAAAACGCAATTTTTCGGTCTTCATTCTCATTGAAAACTGGGGAATAGCAAAATTAATTACTTAATTTGCAATGACAAAAGGGGGTTTTCATGAATGTAATTTCAAGCTGACGGGATAATGGAAGTTTCCCTCAGTTTCCATAAATCATTTTTCAAAAATTTTAATAACCGCAATTTATTCTAGTAAAACCGCAAGCGCTCTTCTGTTGGGAATTGCTTTCATACTAGCAATGAATTTTAATGAAAATATATTTTAAATGTCTGACATTGTAACTGCCGGCGTATTTACTTCGACAATAAGGAATGACCATTGATAAATTTCATAGTCATACGTGTGTTAGGTAAATTGCATGCCTTCAGAATTACCGGAATAGAATAGACACTTTTCATATTATATTTTATATTCTAATTTTATTCAACTATATTTACCTAGTAAAATTGATCGTAAATCAATTTAATTCAATTCTCTTCGAAGGTATATAAAAAGCATCGCAGGGAAGAATTCTGTGAGGAAAAAATGAAATTCTCTCGAAACAATTTTTCGGTCTTCATTCTCATTGAAAACTGGGGAATAGCAAAATTAATTACTTAATTTGCAATGACAAAAGGGGGTTTTCATGAATGTAATTTCAAGCTGACGGGATAATGGAAGTTTCCCTCAATTTCCATAAATCATTTTGCAAAAATTTTAATAACCGCAATTTATTCTAGTAGAACCGCAAGTGGCTCTTCTGTTGGGAATTGCTTTCATACTAGCAATGAATTTTAATGAAAATATATTTTAAATGTCTGACATTGTAATTGCTGGTGTATTTACTTCGACAATAAGGAATGACCATTGATAAATTTCATAGTCATACGTGTGTTAGGAAAATTGCATGCTTTCAGAATTACCGGAATAGAATAGACACTTTTCATATTAAAATTTAAAATTAATTAAAATAAGTTGATATAAATGGATCATTTTAACTAGCATTTAGTTAAATTAAGTTAAGAGAAGCTTCCATATATTTTTCGTAGCGTCCCTTCTTAAGACACTCCTTTTTTACTTTAAGAGAGCTTACGCTGAAGTATGTTTATCAGAAGATCTCAACTCGTTTTTGAATAATACGAGTATGTCGCTTTGTTTGCAATGACGATCCAATTTCGGGAAGCCAGCTAGGAACCTGTTGCGAGAAAAAAAAGCCATGAATTTCTTTGATGTCCAGAAACAAGCGCATTCAAGGGATTCCACTCGGGGATTTTTATTTCTTCCAACAGGGCGAGCAGCAGTAAGCCCAGCAAATCGAATGAACCTGGATCCCATCGAAATTACTTCTACCCCTCTTCCAAAAAACCCCTGGTTATGACGCACAAACTCTACGAAGCAAGGACATGAGGAGGAGGGAAAGAGTGGAAAAGAAAGGAAGACAAGCAGAGCAAAATGCCTGGAAGACGACGAGGAAGGAAGGAAGGAAGGAAGGAAGGAATGGACAGCAAGCGATTTGGCGCACCAGGAAAGTTTCCGTTTTTGCGTTCGTATTTCCGGGCCAGTGGTTCCCTAAGTCTTCAGCTGCGTTCAGGGTTTAACCCACTCTCCAACAAAACGGAAAGTCGTTCTATTCAACTTAATCTTTCCTCTTTTTTTTTAACGCGAATTCCGAGGACTCTCTGATCTATTCACATTGGGGTGGTTTCTACATTTTTTTGTTTTGCTTTTCTTTGCCAATCTGTACTGATGACCCCTTGAGATGGACAACTCGGTCCCGTGTATAGATGGACTCCATTTAAGTCGACTTGTTGTGATCCCTATACAACAACAAAAAATTAGCAAAAAGCTCTCTTGATTGAAAAGAAGTTACCGCGAGGCATTTTTACCAAAAGCCGAAGAGCGTGTGTCCTTAGGGCTGTAATGATCTCCCGCAATTTTTTATTTGATTGCTTCTTTTTCTGGAGTGAATTTCGATGTTTTTTTCAAGCATTGACTTCTTGTCTCTTTTTTTCTTTTGTCACGTCGCTTGACCGCGATTTCCGCCATATTCTGAGTTCATTTCCCAACCTTTTGGGATTGCATGTTCGATTTGTGCTTTTCAAGCGGCATTCTGAAAAGCACAAAGCAGCAATTGGGCGAAGAAATAAATGCATAAACAGTGAATGAGAGAATCTGTCATTTTCTTTTGCTATTATGCTCTTCATCGGGCTTCGGAACTTCATGATGGGCTTCAGCCTTTTATTCATATACTCGCTATATAAGGTTTCGACGATAACTCCCGAAGCATATTCTGTTAGAATTTTGTAAATCACTTATCAATTGAACGAAATGGACGGATATTTAGGTGACGAAGAGCCTTATTTTTCGAAAGCATTTTGGTCTGTGTAAAAGTTCAAAAAAAATTATATTTTGGGATGAAGTCTCACTTAGTATTTTTTCCTGCCTAATCATTTTACCTCTATGCTCCATAAACAATAACGTACCGCTTTTACAACTTAGTCTCAAGTAGTTAACGTTCAAAATAATCCCCTAATTTTAACTTCACATTCCAAACTTAAAAAAAAAAAAAGTACAATTAAAGTGTATTCCTAGTTTTATTTCATAAAATGGACTTGCTCGCCGTTTCGATGAAATCAAAGTTGTAAATGGCCATGGAAAAATGGATGAAGTGAATATCTATTTGACTTTTTACTCCCGTGATATATTAGCTTTAGGCGTTCATGTTTAGATTATTGCGGTGATACTCATCTTGAAGTGCACCGAAGTATTTCTGGTCCATCTAATATTTATTTTTTTCATCATGGCAATAACTATAGTTGCCTTTTATTCCTCAAATATCGCTAGAAAAGTTGAGAATTCCGTTCTTTGAATTTCTAAGTACGAAAATTGCAAAGCGATACAATTCATACTCGTATTTGCATATGAGCAGTGTAGTTCCTTGAAGTGTACTACGCATGACTTAATTAATATCGAACAGCAGCGTTTCCAATGCTTCAGGGTTATCTTTATAAAGTAAAAAAATTACATTTCCATCGCCTCACTAGGAAAATTTCTTTGAAAGTAACCAGAGAGACACAGATACGCAGATAATTTTGTCACAAAGAAGGCGTAAAACAGACGCGTGTTTTTTTTTTTTTTTTTAGAACAGAACAGAGAAAAATATGGAATATTGAGGATTCTGTCGAAAAAAAAATTTCCGGGACAAAATCAAGGCAGGAATGATTTCTTCGTCCGTTCCGCATTTCAAGCCAGTTGACTTTAGACATGAGAAGATTCTCTCAGCATCTGAAGGTTCTATATACAGTACGGAGTTCCTGAAAGGTATTTCCTTGCTGTACTTGTAATATGAAAGATCAAGAATGTCCCTCCTGAGATTATTGTTTCGAATCGCATTCAAATCCTTGGCAGTCCCAGCATGCAGTCCAACTTCTTCGCAAGGTCCGTTTCTCATCATCACCAGCGTCGTCTTCGTCTGTTCTTCAAGCAAATTACGCGTGCCGAGAGTTGGATCCTGACACTGGCATGGATGCCGGGATATAATTACATGGACATCATTTGCATTCTAATGGAAATTTTATAGAATACCAGGATGCAGCAATCTTTTTTTTTTNACCGCGAGGCATTTTTACCAAAAGCCGAAGAGCGTGTGTCCTTAGGGCTGTAATGATCTCCCGCAATTTTTTATTTGATTGCTTGTTTTTCTGGAGTGAATTTCGATGTTTTTTTCAAGCATTGACTTCTTGTCTCTTTTTTTCTTTTGTCACGTCGCTTGACCGCGATTTCCGCCATATTCTGAGTTCATTTCCCAACCTTTTGGGATTGCATGTTCGATTTGTGCTTTTCAAGCGGCATTCTGAAAAGCACAAAGCAGCAATTGGGCGAAGAAATAAATGCATAAACAGTGAATGAGAGAATCTGTCATTTTCTTTTGCTATTATGCTCTTCATCGGGCTTCGGAACTTCATGATGGGCTTCAGCCTTTTATTCATATACTCGCTATATAAGGTTTCGACGATAACTCCCGAAGCATATTCTGTTAGAATTTTGTAAATCACTTATCAATTGAACGAAATGGACGGATATTTAGGTGACGAAGAGCCTTATTTTTCGAAAGCATTTTGGTCACACATTTTCAAGTTTTTTTTAATATAAAACCCTACTTCAGAGTGAATCATAAAAAAGGACGGATTAGTAAAATGGAGATACGAGGTATTTGTTATTGCATGGCGAAAATGTTGAATCAGAGTTCATATGTTAACGTTCAAAATAATCCACTAATTTTTACTTCTCATTCCAAACCGTTTGAAAAAAAAATTCAAAGAGCATTCCTAGTTTTATTTTATAAAATGGACTTGCTCGTCGTTTCGATGAAATCAAAGTTATAAATGGCCATATTAAAATGGATGAAGTGAATGAATATTTTATTTTTTACTCCCGTGATATATTAGTTCATCGTTCATGTTTAGATTATTGCGGTGATACTCATCTTGAAGTGCACCGAAGTATTTCTGGTCCATCTAATATTTATGTTTTTATCATGGCAATAACTATAGTTGCCTTTTATTCCTCAAATATCGCCAGAAAAGTTCAAAATTCCGTTCTTTGAATTTCAAAGTTCGAAATTGCAAAGCGATACTTAATACTCGTATTTGCATATACGCAGTATAGTTCCTTATTGAAGTGTACGCATGACTTAATTAATATCGAACAGCAGCGTTTTCAATGCTTCAGGGTTATCTTTATAAAGTTAAAAAAATGAAATTTCCATCGCCTCACTAGGAAAATTTCTTTGAAAGTAACCAGAGAGGCACAGATACGCAGATAATTTTGTCACAAAGAAGGCGTAAAAAAGACGCGTGTGTTTTTTTTAGAACAGAACAGAGAAAAATATGGAATATTGAGGATTCGGTCGAAAATTTTTATTTCCGGGACAAAATCAAGACAGGAATGATTTCTTCGTCCGTTCCGTATTTCAAGCCAGTTGACTTTAGACATGAGAAGATTCTCTCAGCATCTGAAGGTTCTATATACAGTACGGAGTTCCATATACAGTACGGAGTTCCTGAAAGGTATTTCCTACGACATGAACATTATACTTTCTAGTTCTTACAGGGAGGACTCTAATAACAAAGCTTAGCGTAAGTTTAGGAACCGTCAGGGTCGTACGTCAGGTTGAAGAAGCGTTCCAGGCAAAGAGTAGTAGTGGAGCGTCGTCTTCGTCTGTTCTTCAAGCAAATTACGCGTGCCGAGAGTTGGATCCTGACACTGGCATGGATGCCGGGATATAATTACATGGACATCATTTGCATTCTAATGGAAATTTTATAGAATACCAGGATGCAGCAATCTTTTTTTTTTTACTTTTGTTTTCCTAAAAAGAGGGAGAGGGAATTGCAGAGGTCATGGACTGTATATATATTTGGGAAAAAATATGCGATATCCTACTCCGAGCAGCAAGATTATGTCAACGTCTGACCACATGTTTTCAAGTTATTACCAATTTGATATGAATGCTTTCTGTGATTTTCCCATGCCTTCAGGAAGAATTTAAAAGCTAATGTATAATGTATGTTTCGAAAGACTAATTTCTGCGTGCGGTCTGAAGGGTTTTGAAAGAGTCTTCTTGCAGGAGCTTTTAAAGAGATTTTCACGGAATCTGTCAAAAAATCCACATTAGGTCAGAACTCTTCATATGGGAAAATTAAAAATTGTTATTAGCTGATATCCTTGTGTGTATTGACTAAATAGCTTTATGGTTGAGTTGAATATTATTTTTAATATAATCCCACTTCTACTTAAGGAGACTAATAGGCTTCAAAGTCCTTACCTTTTCGGGAGGTGAAAAAATACTCTGGTGCTTGTAAAAGGCATTTGTATTCTGGAGATGAATATCCTGTAGCCTCTATCCTTCTTTCCAGGAGATAAAAATCGTCAATATAACTCGACATGTATTTTTGAAAACAGTTTTGCCACTTAATAAACATGTACCTTTCCTTGACCAGAGATATCATATCATTTTCAAAATACATGCTTGTAAATAAATCCTTCCTTAACTTCATTATTGGATTTTACTTTCTATTGTGTACACATAAAAAAGGTGGAAATCAGTAATACTGTATATGTTCAACACCAATTTTGGAATAAAATTTCTCTCGTACATAATATGTACTATATTTTTAAAGCCTTTTCAACTGAAAAAATAATAATTTCTCCAAAAAGGCTGGGCCAAATTAAATGTCTCCCGGTTCTCCTTCCAACTATTCTTTCGCTCGATAATCCAAAAACTCTTTTTTTTTCAAAAGATCTGAACAAACTCGACGAGAAGCCACAATGCAGGGACTTGCAAACCTTTTCTGTCAGCAAATATACCTTCGGTCGTATTTATTTTTCCTCCACCACCGAGAGAGCCTATATAGTTTGATCCGAACCGCATCTGTTAACCCGCATAGGAACAATTGCTGGAAAAGTGGGCAAACATTCGACGTCACGATCGAACATTCGAAAGATAAAAGACAGTATAAATCCAAAAAAATCCTCCCCACGTGTAAAAGGCACGTATAGGAACATATGACATAAAAGTAGATCAATAAGTAACTCGATTTAGCTTCGCGTTTTCCGCATAGGAGAAATTTTTCTTTTTCACCCGCGATCTGCCCGAAGCAAATTGGACTCGGACTTACAAAAATTTATTTACAGTTTCTAAATTCGATAAAATCTATATTTATAAAAACCTTCTCGAGTGAAATAAAGCATCGCCACAAATTATGGGAAAATCGACAACCTCATGTCATATGGGTGCGAGGCCCCTTAGTCTTCTGAAAAATCGTAATATGGTCGAATGAGGTGCACACGTTTACCTAGCTACTACAGACATTTGTGAGAGTCATGTGAACCCATTGTTGGTACAACACTAACGAACCCATGTTTCTACCACAGCATGCGAAAAACAGCTCAAGCTTATATTTTTCAACGATTCGTCGTAAAGATTGTTTTGAACTATTTGTCACGCAAAGTTTTCATTGTGGCTTCCAGTCGGTCAGACTTTCATTCCGTGCGAAAGAAAACCGTGATCGAGTGGTGAATGGAATAACGCTTTATCGAGGACGGGAATTGAAGGGCAATGTTTTGCATTTATTATTAGCAAATTGTCGAGGCGGGGTGATGAATCATTTTATGTTTAGAATATGACGTCAAGGCTGATTTTGACAGGCATCGATGAATCAGAACGACTTCAACCTAGTTTTTTATTGAAGGACTTCAAAATTATTTATTATTGCAATTATTCTAAGAATTTGTCCAAGTTACACTTCATGGAGGGCAATTTATCTTATTCTTGCGTTTCATTGAACTCATCAGTACAACTTTCCATTTTAGATGTGTTGAGGACTTGCCGTGATCGATAAAACAATCAATGATGAAAGTTAAATTGGGCAGAAAACCATCCGAGTAGAAGTAAAATAAAACCCGAGTACATCTGCCCACGAACTTTCCCCCTCTCCAAATTTTGAGTCACTTGGAGCAAAATGTCTTCAAATTTGATTTCCTCAGCTAATCCCAAGCTTCAGAAATTGTCCAATTTGTCTGTGCCAGTACTGTACTAGATCAAGGCCTGCCTTAATAAATAATAAATACTCCTTTTTTACGATGCATCATCATCAGCTTCTGCCTAGCTGTCATTTAGTGAACAGTACATTATACAGCTTCTACAGGGTTGGAGCTTCATCAACTGCTATATAGGTGTTATTTTTTGGGAAATATCTCACTTTTTCCTTGCAATAATAACATAAGTAATAACATAAGTATAATAACATAAGCAATAAAGTACATCTTTCCATCCATCATACTTTTTGTGAAATAAATTCTTGAACCAAGTTTTCATTAGTGTAAAAACTGCAACACGTTTTATTCAATCTCTTTCTCATCACATCACAAACATTGCCTCTCAGGCACGCCAGGTAAGTCAAACACATCAATCATTTTTCAAAAATGTCTCTGCACCGCTATAGAAAAGAAAAATTAACATTTTGTCGACTCTGTTTTTAGTTGACCACTCGAAAATATCAAGAATGATTGCAGATATATCCTCATATGTTCTCGTTTCTAAAATATATCTTTAAAATCATTGAAGTACAGTACAAATACTCCACTCGACAAAAATGGGATGGATACAGCCTTTCACGAAGACATATCGGATAGCGAATCAGTCCGTATCGTTCACGTTTTTGTTCTAACATAATTGATCACGAAAAACGAAGATGTAGTTCATATTTTCAGACGAGGCAACGAAATACTGTAGTACAGAAATTCTATTAAAATCGCTTGAAGAGCATTTTCTCACGCGTCAAAAAAGGAAATATTTGAAAGCACAGCCTGAGGTAAGTTTAATTGGCCAAAGACCTCTTCAAATATTGTTGCAGCATTTCTGCCAAGGGTTGAAAAAAGTTGAAATCTTTGCCGTAAACTTTATCGCGTATCCAAAAATTTTCCTGAGCTTTTTCTCGAACCGCAGCAAATTCATAATTTTATTTTATACTTTCTCCATAATAAAGTTGCTTTTTTTTCTATCCACGAGATATTTTTGCTCACTCTCCACCTGCTGAACGCGAGGCTGACGTGCTCTGGCAAAAAAAAAGGAATCGGGGTCGCATAAATCGGGCAGACGAGTCAATAGGCCAGAAAATCGCGGCAGCTCCGAACTGCATCAATGCCCACCATCTTGTCTCTTCCCTGCAAATTTTTTCCATCGTGCCAATAACTTATGCGTGTACAGCCCACCGCAATTTTCCCTTCCCTCCCTATAGGAACGCTCGACTGCATCACACCCGTCGACCCGAAAATAATTTACTTTAACCAGTTTGTTCTACTTTCTCGCAGTATCCAAAAAGAACTCGAAAAAAAGTACGTGAAGATGACTTGAAGAGCAAAAACCTTTTCTCTCACTTCTTATTCATGCATCTGAAAATTAGCAAAAAACGCGAAATGTTTTCGAGTATAATATTTGTATGGCTCAGAGAGTGGTTATTTGACAAAAATTACAATATTCAACAAAATTTCGAACCTAAGTGCTAGTGTAAGTAAACTTGGATATTTCAATGAGCATTAATTTTTAAGTATCTATTAATAAACCAACTAGTTGATCCGGTTCATCAGTTTTTTCCTAGATTTTGCCGCACTTTTTAGGTCGAGGCACTTGATAAATCGGATTAATTTCATTAGTTTTCGAATGTTCTAAAATATCTGAATTTTTAGTCTGATTGGGGAGAAGACATATGACCTTATAGCAGATTTCCACGAGAAAGAGGAAAATCACTTCCCAACAACATTTTAAATTTGAAACAAGTTGAAGCATTCACAATTATTTCAAGCATGCAGTTTTGACTTTTTTTTTCCAATGCAGAAACCTCTTCTTTCATTACTCGTTTCTGATCCCACGAAGAATTTAGAGAGCTATGGCTTAGACTTTGAGGTACCTGAAGAATTCAGTAAGCTACTGACCAACTTTTGAACGATTCGGGAAGGACAAAACGGGTTAGATGAACTTTCAAAGAAATTCCCGAAATAGTTTTTCGTGATGTTATTATCAATTATGTCTGTCTAACTTGAGATATTTAGATATAGGGTGCATGATAACAATGTTTTTTTTTTCTCTTAAGAACATGGAGTGTACGTCTTTCACAGTAATTTTGATTGCGCACAAAAGTTTACATTCGAAATGTTTCCCTCAGCCCGTTTTCGAAATCGTTACATTGGATTCTTTTTTCTTCTTCGTTTATACAAGAAATGATTCAGAGCGTGTCAGAAAAAAAATCGGAATCAGGTATCGGGTTTGCAGAATATTCAACGACGTTTTCCAACTTTTCCCAGATATAAAAAGCAGCTATGCTCTGCTAACCTGAGATGTCTTGAAATCCCGAAGACATTTCATTTTCAGCAACAAAATGTCTTCGAAGCATATTAGTAAGTTACAATAATTTTAAGGTGTACGACAGTTTATTTTGAAAAATCCAACCAAACAATTTTCCTTGACCTCAGCTCTTCTTCAGAAGCGTTTCCGGCGCTTTCTCATTTCATTTTATTAAAGAAAGGAATTAAAGCTCGTCGGGAAAAATGAATAATCGAGGATAACGAACGACGAGGCAGTTCAGCTCGGCAGCGGGCAAATACAAGACCTCCCCCTTTTTACTGGTCACCTGTACACATCACAGCCGCCCAGGTTCCCAACTGCTGTGTATAAAAAAAAACCAAAACGAAGCAAAATTGGTGTTAGATCCCACTTGCACGTCCGCCATCACATGCAAACCTGTAGCGCCTGATGAAACGCGACCCTTCGGCCTCACACCCGACCCCGCGATGAAATGTCGTCGACAGCTGCACGTAAATCGCGGCATTGCATTCACACATATGCACCCTCCGACGCAAAAAATGAAACAAAAAAAACACAAGCAAAAAAATACCATAAAGAAACAAAATATATGGCGAAGAAAACGACTAACCCGTCGGACGAAAAAAGGGGGGAAAGGTCTATGAAATATATGACGTCAAATGCCGGGAGGAAGATATATTTTGCTTGACGTCAGTCTCTTCGCTGGCCTCAGATGAGCACAAAATCCCTGGAAATTGTTTCTGCTCTTTAGGAGAAGAAAAATCCGCCATCTGTCGCCTTTGCGACAGCCAAGTAATATTTTCTCTTCATGCTCGAAGACATTCGGAAATGCTTCCCCCCCCCACCCCCAGGGCAGGGTCATAAAAGTTGCTTAATGAGGGTGCAACCACATGCCTGTTGAAGGCACTCGTCGGGAGCAGTGTAGAAAGTCGCAACTTCATCCGATTAACCGGGGCTGCGATTTCATCCGCAATTTCTTCTTGCATCTCAAACGCACATTATCGGGACGCAGTTTTCGAAAAGGAAGCATCAATCATAATAAAAAAAAGAGAGGAATATTTCGAGGCGATAATGACGAAGAAATGGAAAAAAGGATGTTTTCGTAGCGAATATATCATCTGGCTTTAGGCATTGCCGTACTGGTCAATCAGGTACTGTAGTGGATGCGATGCCGTGGGGCGGTTGGCGTACTTCACGGGTCCCGAGAGTGACACCTGGTCGAGGAACCTGGCCTCCAAGCGGGGTTTGGCAGGTTCGAATGTCGTAAAGCCGCTCGTCTTGTTCCGAACGCGGCGCGTAGACGTAAGGTATGTGTTTAGGCTTCGGTGAGGATCTTTAGCATTTATGTAGTGACGTCATTATAAGTTTTTGTCAGGCTCTAAAAGGCGGGGTAATTCGCCCATGATCATTTTCCATGTCCCGCATACTATAGCATCAGAATCCAACTTTTAAAAATTCTCACAACTTGATAAAAAAGGTACTTCCCCAAATCTTAGAAGACCAGGAAAAAATGTTAGCTTTAAATTATTTTCCTTAAAAGATTATCTTTAAATTGCTTAATCAATTAAAAATTGTGTGTAGGAATAATAGGCTTTAATTTGTCCTCAGTAATTTTTTTTGTGCTGCGATTTTCGTCATAAAAAGGTATGGCAACTCATTATTCAGCATGCATTTGCATGTACTATGACGCACAATATTTTACAGCGAATTATTTTTCATTTTATATGCGGCAATGTGTTGAAAGGATGTGTGTGGAAAATTTGTGAATGCTGACAAGCAGCAAATAAAGCTTGAATATCAACCAAGTACTGTAAGTTTTTCAGCAGGAACACGGGTTATTTACTGTATAAATTCATTATTATCAGTTTCTTAAATTCGTTTTTTCGGAATTGGAAGAAACTTATTCAAAATTATGAATCCATGTCAAATATTTTCCGAACACTTGATTTGATTTCTTTCGAATGTGCGTTCACTGCCAGTATTATAGAGGGTTTTTTTTTTACGGAATTGACATTCCTTCAGTAACTGTATTTTTGATTTTTGTGCCAAGAATCTAGGATACCGCCTTTATTGTGTGAGCTAGGGAAACTGCGTTGATGCAAATAGTGGAACGAATTATGAGTACAGTATTATTCACTTTAACTCGTAATTATATGCATGAATTTAGGATAAACCAAGGAAGGAATAACGTATGCGTGTACTATATATCTACTTCTAATGATAGAAAATTATTGGAAGAATAGAGAAACAAAAGGTCAATAATTTTCATAGAGTTAGAAGTTTTCGATTCGCTCTTGTGAGTGCAAATGCTGGAATTTCGCAATCACCCCAACAGCACCCCCACTTTCTACTCAAGACATTTTCCTGAAAATCCGGGAATAAATATTATTTTTTCTTCTCAAAGAATACTGTACCTATCACTTCTCCGACTTCGTAACGAATCCCGAGGATGTCACAGCCTCTGTCGATATACTGTGTTGCGTTGAGAGAACGTTTGACCCTTGTAGAAAGTGCGGAAGACGAACAGCATTTCGGCGAGCAGAACAAGGCTTGCGCCGCGCATCTGCATTCCATACACAAATCCGAAGCCACTCCTAGAAATCGTAAATACATCACTGCAGTAATATTCAAAAACAGTCCGAGATTTTCCGGGGTAATTAGCCCATGATCATTTTCCATGTCCCGCATACTATAGCATCAGAATCCAACTTCTAAAAATTCTCACAACTTGATAAAAAAAAGGTACTTCCCCAAATCTTAGAAGACCAGGAAAAAATGTTAGCTTTAAATTATTTTCCTTAAAAGATTATCTTTAAATTGCTTAATCAATTAAAAATTGTGTATAGGATAATAATAGGCTTTAATTTGTCCTCAGTAATTTTTTTTTGTGCTGCGATTTTCGTCATAAAAAGGTATGGCAACTCATTATTCATGCATTTGCATGTACTATGACGCACAATATTTTACAGCGAATTATTTTTCATTTTATATGCGGGAATATGTGTTGAAAGGATGTGTGTGGAAAATTTGTGAATGCTGACAAGCAGCAAATAAAGCTTGAATATCAATCAAGTACCGTAATCTTTTTCAGCAGGAACACGGGTTATTAACTGTATAAATTCTTTAATTGGCAGTTTCTTAAATTCGTTTTTTCGGAATTGGAAGAAACTTATTCCAAATTAGGAATCCATGTCAAATATTTTCCGAACACTTGATTTGATTTCTTTCGAATGTGTGTTCACGGAATTGCCATTCCTTCCTTCAGTAATTGTATTTTTGATTTTTGTGCCGAAAATCTAGTTTTATGCCTTTATTGGTTGAGCTAGGGAAACTGCATTGATGAAAATAGTGGCGCAAATGAGCATTATTCACTTTAACTCGTAATTATATGCATGAATTTAGGATTTACCAATTCAGGAAAAACGTATGCGTGTACTATATATCTACTTCTATTGATAGAAAATTATTGGAAGAATAGAGAAACAAAAGGTCAATAATTTTCATAGAGTTTGAAGTTTTCGATTCGCTCTTGTAAGTGCAGATGCTGGAATTTCGCAATCACCCCAGCATCACCCCCACTTCCTACTCAAGGCATTTTCCTGGAAATCCGGGAATACATAGTATTTTGTCTTTTCTCAAAGAATACTGTACCTATCACTTCTCCGACTTCGTAACGAATCCCGAGGATGTCACAGCCTCTGTCGATATACTGTGTTGCGTTGAGAGAACGTTTGACCCTTGTAGAAAGTGCGGAAGACGGCGAAGAAACGAGGTTTTCGAGAAAATCGAATGACATCAGATCGACCGGAAATGGTTCCGAAATGCCCGGAAGTGACAACCCCGAAGGCGATGAGTCCTGGTTGACTGAACGTCGAGGCCTGAATTGAATTTTCGACGATGACTCAGCGCCAACCCGGCGATTCACAGGTCCTGGTCCCCTCCTGAACCTGAATGTTGTCACAAAAAATTCCATGATTTGGGATTTAAGAATCTTTTGTTTGTTCACTGGTTTTTTTTTTCAATTTATGCAAGGCGCTTGGAATAATCGCGACCCTCTAACCGCTGACAAAATCGAAATCAAAAGAATCCCTTCACGGTGGAATACAACGTATTTTTTGCAGTCTGAAAAATATTTATATTCGCGTGAGAGTAAATCCTAAATTTGAATGCATCAGGGAAATTGGTATCGAAAATTTAAAAGAACGCAGTGCAGTATCAAGAAACTTCGTTCTTCGACGATGAGAAGGAAAAACTGATACATTTTTGAGTTATGGTATCTCCACAATGGTATGATTTATCGCGCTCAAGAGTTGTCAACACAAAGATAATCTTTTGCGATTTTAAGGTTTTATTTACAGTACATCGGAATTACCAAAACGTCATTGTTAGTTTATACATTTTGAAGAATATCGCCGAGTGCTTTCATTAGTTGGCATGGTTTTCGGATAAAGGTAATACTGGTTCCTTTTAGAGGGCAAAAGTCTGGTTCCTTTTATATGGCAAAAGTCTGGTTCCTTTTAGAGGGCAACTTCATTCTTTCCAAGCGAACGGGTTTTTATTTTTTATTTCATTGGTTGAAATATCGGCAATGACTATCTTTCACGCCTCTTTTCTGTTCTATGATTTTATATTTCTTTTTTTTCAGAAGTTAACCCTACTTTCCCGAGCTGGAATAATTACGCGAAATGCGGTCGACTCCGAACAGATCACCAACGGACTCAAGAACAATTGTTGAACACCTGGTTGTATTTCACGTCTGGAAAGCAGATGGACGACCTCATATATGAATGGTTCTGGTGATTTGAATGTAGATGACAGGTAATTACGTTTCGAAGAACGAATAAAGGAAGAACCTTCTCGTTTTAAGGTAGCTTTCATCAGAATTCGTTCTGTGCCACATCTACATTTTTTTTTTTGGAGGCAAACTTTTAATAAGGTTCTGTAGTTCTTTCACGGTCAGCAATTTTTTTTTACTGTGCTTAATGCGGAAAGTTTTTTTCTTCGGAATATTATCGGGAGATTCATAACAAAATTATGCCCGAAGGAATAAAAAAGCACACGTAATAGTGTAAAAAGCTCAGGGGTTTCCTTTCTCGATTTCCAGGAGAACTGAGTTCTGTCGTGAATCGCACAATGGATAATTTTTTTGTTTTGCATTCTGAATTGTTCCATTAAAAGAATTCCACTCATCGCTTGAAAATAATTTGACCAAATGAAAAACAAGCACAATCAAAACTGAATTTTATGTTTACTCTAATATAAGGGCTCGACGAATCAGCGGATGACTTTTGATTGGCAAAACTAGGAGGCAAAAAATATTCAGCTGAATTTAGATCTACTTGCAAAGACAAATCCTTTGACAGCGTAATTTAGATAAGGGCTTCGTATGCCCTACTGTGTTGCATTATTTCTTTCGGTGAGGAAATAAATTAATTTTATTGATAAATGTAACACATTAGCACTTCACCTATTGTATGAATGAATGAATGAACAGAACACTTTATTTGCCGCTTTTCAGTGTTCACAAAGTACAATCAAGATTTCCACATCCAAACCCCCTCCCCACCCAACCCAAATCCCCTCAAAGACTTTCAAAAAGACCTATTGTATATCTTCTAATTTTTTCGACACATATTTCTTTTTAGCTTTCATATTTATTTTTCAAGATGGCAGACGAAGATATGGTCTCAATTGAGGATGAACTCATGGACGGTAAAAATTTTCTAGGTAATTTCGATGAAGACTCATCCCTCATAAGTGTTCATATTACGGTATTTGAGATTTATGAAGTGACTGGATCTTTCAGAGATGATTTTAGAATTATTCACTTAGGATTTGGAACTTACTCTGAGCTCCGGTGTGAGAAGCTGATAAATCTGAAGTGCTAATCTCGAATATGGGTGGCTCAAGCACACTGAATTAGGTTTATATAGATGCCTTTTGCTCAATTTAAGTGACTTTTAACCTTGGTAGCACTTACCTCAAGCTTCTCGAACTGCTGCCTCTCTGCACAGGAATCCCACTGTGCGTCATTGGCTTGAAGAAATCCCCATCAGGAGCCAGTCGACCAGCGGGTATCTCGGGACTCGGGACGAACGGCGTCCCGAAAAACTCCATCTTCCGCGGAGCCTTGAATCCAGAGCCCTGTCTTTCACGTCCTTTCACAGGTGTCGCTTCTCTCGCTACTGGCCTTCTATCGCTCCTGACCACTTGCTGTTGTCGATTGCTGCTAGATGCCGTTCGCGACAACGAATTCTGATTGCTCGATATTTGACGAAAAGCCTGTCGAGCTTGTGGCACTCGTTTCGAGGGGAAAGGTTGTGGTTGGAAATATACCGATTTCGTTGCTGAACCAGCGGGAGACGATTTGCCGCCCGTGATGCCCGTGTTCCGTTTCAACCCCACAGGGATCGCTACGAAAAGAGGCATTCTTTACAACTCAAAATAAAAAAAATTCGAAAGATTAACCTTGAAAATAATCTTTCTGAAAAATGTCACTTCTTTTTATTTTTTGTGTAACAGTATCTGAAATTCAGGCAATGTGTCAAATCTGCTGGCAGTAGACAAGCTGCAAACAGATTTCCCCCCTGCGAAACGTTTCTGTTCGAAATTTTTTTTTATTAACTGGTTAACTAGTTTTTAAAAATGAAGGACTAGAAAAATAAATATGCATGCGATGAATACAATATATACGAACGACAGTGGTAGAGAGACGGTTCGCACACGTTCTCATAGGACAGAACTGTGCACTGGTCTGGTGGCGGAGGGCAGTTTTTCCAGTAACAGTCGACCTTGCCTTGGAAGCAGATGCAGAAATGACAGGGGTGTTGTCGAGGGATCGCAGTTTCTGACGCGTACGACTCCCCGTCTATTTCACAGGCCAGTCTTTGGTGCGAAACTGTAACACACCGCCAATTTTTGGTTCTGTACTTGAAATTCCGTCTTACATTTTAAAAACATTGAGACCATTTTTTTTNTTTTTGCGAAAAATTAGGCTCAGAATTTTCAGGTTAAGCGCACGAAGGTTTTTGCGCACCGTTGGACTTTGAATGCTAATTATATGTACAATTTTAGTTCAAATACGACTGTCTGATTCCTGATGAACGTTTTTTTTAATGTAGCAACTGCTGTGAAAGAGAAAAGATTAGATTCAACAGACTCTTCCGATTCTCGAAAAATTGAATGACATGTAATTACTTCTCTGAGTTCTCTCACATAGCAGGTAAATATTTTTTAATTTCTAAAAATGGCGCATTTAATTTGTTCGAAAACAGTCTTATTACGCAATTATTGTCTCGTGAGTCTTGAGGCATTCCTGTTAAAAGTTTGAAGAGGTCTACACATATATGGCTGTATATGGATTTTTCGTGATATAGCATCAAATTGTATATTTCAGATGAGATTAAGTGAGAAAAGAAATTTCTTGTGACCAGATAATCTCATGGTACGTCGCTTAAATGGAATGTTTTCATGCTTTTGATTTTTTCTTGTCATTCCACGTGACAAAATGATCGAAGGACGAGGTTTCAATTTTTTGGGGTTTTTCCTTACAGTCGATCGCTCGTCCGGTGATGAGGCTGACTGACCCATCTCCAATCGTCGCTGAAAAAAAAAAAAAGAGAAATGAAAATTATTAACCTGATTACGAGGAAATTAAAAATGCTTAATGAACAAATTCCCACACTTGAAAAGGAAAAAATTTCCGCAAAAATATTTTGGATTCAAACAAAAAACGTCTTTTTTGCACTGTAACTTTCCTCATACAGTATACTCTATACATATAACCATCCAATTCAAAACTCCATTACAGTTTGTGAAAATCAGATAGTATTTTCCATAACACCAGTACAGTATACAAAATAGCTAAAATACCGGCATGTTAAGCGAAGACACGTTTCTGTGGTAAAAAGTGACATTATATGGCGTACAAGCAATGACTCCTGTTAAGTTCATTTGCCTTTGAAACCCAGTTATGATAATGTCAAAAAGTTGATTCATCGTTGTAATCTTCCCGAATTTTCAGAATCAAAAGTTTCCAAAACGTTCTTGCCTTCAAATGAAAAAAAAAACGTTCTGAACGTTCTCACTCTGCGGGAAATATTTATAAATACTGTAAATGAAACGAATCTTTCTCGATCGACCTTGGCAAATAACTATATTTTCACTATTCTAAACATGCGTAGTTCTTTCAATGTTTCATGAGTCACGAATACTGTTTCAGAAGTATGTCAAGAGACTAGTGCGTCAAAATTTCGCATGACCTTTGCAATAAGCGCGTATATTCGTGGAAAATTGTAGAATACTGAACTGTACCTCGCTTCAATAAGAATGGCCGGATCAACGTGGGCAAAACAGAAAACGGAAAATGATGATAAGAACATGTACTGCCATAGGTATGAGTGATGAGGCAAAATAATGGCCGAGATCGGATTGAAGCGCCCCAGTGAAATGAAATCCGAGCACTTCAGCCTTTGTTATGAATCAGGGTCGACACAGACGACCAAAGGATGGATCATTTTCATCGAGCACCTCTTGAAGTGATAGGGACTCTTTCCTTCTCTAAACCAGGGTTCCCCAATCTTTTTGAGGCTGCAGACCAGCAAATTTCAACGACAAAAAATTCTGCGGACTGGCGAAGTTTCATGCGAGTTTTGCAGACTCAAAATAGTTGGTTTTAAAAACTTCATGGCAGGTATTTAAAAAAGTTTCTGCTTTTTGCAACAATTAAGTTAAGAGCCAATGAAGCAGCCATAGTGAAATTTCTTCAAAAATTAGAAACATGAGCTTGAAGGAAGGTGTCTCAAACTGGAAAAATTAACATAATTTATTTCAGCTGGTGCACATTTTTTCTGAAGCTTCATTAGGAGAAAAGCCAACTTTTATTTTTCATCAGATAATTTCAACTGCAATTGTCTTTCCGACACTTGAAACACGAAAGAATACTGATTGTTTAAACATTCGTTTGCTTTTTTTGAAAAGCGGAATTTTAAATTCGTTTCACTCTTGAACGCCTTTCATATTCATAATTTTTGGTAAAAAAAAAAAAAAAAAGTCCCTTTTTCTCCATACCAAACGATTCGTTGGACGAGACCACGAGTCTTGCCTTTCACAGCAGCGTAAATAAATCGCGGCACAAACGGAAATCGTCGATGCGGAGAGAAACGGAAGCCAGGGCAAAAATCGTATCCAGAGGGGCCACGAAGTTCACGTAACACAAGGGAACAAAAAAATAAATAAAGAGTGCGCATCAAACGTTGTCGGGCTTCTCGTATCCTTTCTCGCGATTTTCCCTCGATGCTTCTGCATTTTTTGAAAATGTTCATCCCATCGTATATTCGCTTCTTTTTTTTTTGTGCGCTCCGTTTCCTCGTCTCCTCCGAGTTGGACTTGTGAAACTCGATCGAGCGTTCACCTTTTGCGAGAGACACGGGGAGATCAATTGACCTCTACTCTTTCGACCCGGGTCTTCATCTCTTTCGTGGGACTGTTGTGTTCTTTCGTGTGCGTGTTTTTTTTATTATTATTTTTTAGCCGAGTGAAGCAGCATTGGGTGAAGGGAGCGACAAGCCCAACTGAGCGCAACTCAACCGAGCGTTGGGATATTGTCAAACTGAGCGCGAAATACCAGAGCACTATACGTCACTGAGTTGAAATTTCTGCTTGATCGACCATCAGTTTCTACATGTAATTATTTCTGACAGAAAAAATAATAATAAAAGCTAACAAATATTCATCATCTTAAGTACTGTACTTCAACATGGAATTCTTGCGATGGCCAGAATTTTCAATCAATTTTAAATCCACTTTTATGGGGTCAAACGTCCTAAACTCGGCAATGAATCGATAGTTTGTCGCGCAAAAACATGACGATAGTTGCAATAGCTTCGTGAGTTGAATTATGCTATTTGTAAAGCTCTAAAACCCTGTCTCTCTGTTCACAAAATTTTTTTACTTGGGTTAAGCAAAGGTAGTCGTGAAGCACACGTCCTTTCTCTTCATCCGTTCTTTTTTTTTTCTTGCCAAATTGATGACTGAATTTCACTAAGGAAACATCTGATACATACACTTTTCCCAAGTTCGAATGTCAGCAAAGTAAAAAATAGTGATGTCTACTGTTGCGCTGCATGAAAAAGCCAAAGAAGCAAAAAATTTAAAAAAAAGAATCACGCTTAATTTTTTTGTAAAATTTCGCGAGACTACAATCGTAATTAATCAAAAGGAAAAATAAAATCAAGAAATTTGCAGTGACTGACTTGCGAAACGGCGTCATTTGAAAAACCTCTATGGAGTCTATGCCGTCCAAAATGCAATAAATTTTTCCAATGCAGAATATCCAGTGTTCCAATTAAGTTGTCAATAGGTTTGATAACGAGGAAATTGAAAATATTCTGCAAAATATGTTCTTTGAGGAGACCCTGGAAACATGGAAGAACGCTCTTTTCGTCTTCATGAGCATGGTTAATGCCAATAATTCTCTGAAAGCGTAATTTCGAGCATTTCGCCGAGGTGACCTGAGTGTTTGAGAAATAATTGGATCAATGAAAATAGAGCACGATGCATTTATCAGCAAAAGTTCATAAATTGCATCTATTTGTCCTATTTCACACCCTTGAAGCCGCTCTTCGCAGCATAAACATGATCAATTATGACTGCACGAATAGGGTTTGAAAGTGGGACCTTGTCCTCCAAAAAAATATGGAATTGGCGAAGGGAAAAGGAACACCACATTATTCAGGCCAGTAAATTCTAGTGAAACGGATGGACGCTTCAAGTCTGCGACGAGTGCATGCAAACTGCGTGATGAGCTCCAAGAATAAAAGCTATATGCATCTCTGAATAGGAGTCCAGGAAATAAAATAAATAGAATCGCTTTTTTCCTGAACTACAGGAGTTCCGGAGACTATGTTTGCCAACATGACGCAGCAGAGTCTAGTTCCCCCCACTCCTTAACTGCTTGCAATAAACCAACTTCAAGCACCCGGGCCAAACCTAAAATTCCGTCAACATTATAAAACCAGCTTATTCATTTAACTGCTCGCTCGCTCACCTCGCAGATGTTTCCTTCCACATTCTTTCACGGAGATACTTAATTCTAAGCTTCGAAAAAACAAGGTTTCAAGCAAATCGAATCAACGTGATAATTTATATTACGTTCATGTTATATGTACAGTACAAGAAATGCGATATCGCCTTTTCCAAAGTTTCCTACGAGAATCGAATTCATTTAATTTAATAAAAAGCGAGAATGCATGTCCTATAGATTAATTGTAATCATCTCTCCGTTTTTTCTTGGAGAATTAGGTATAAGTTTCAAAAATGCACGTTTTGAATACAACGAGGTTTGTAAAAAGTTCGAATCAACCGGTAAAAGTCTAGAACTCTGGATATCTTTAAAAAAAGCGATGTGCCCTTGTCTGAAAAATGAAATA